CCTCCTCCTCCTCCTCCTCCTCCTCCTCCTCCTCGCCCTCCCCCACACTATTTTTGTCACTGTCCGGCCGTTCCTTCACGATTTCTTCGCTAATATCGGACTCAACAGACTCGCTGCCGCCTTGATTTCCATGGGAATACCCATCCACAGAGACAGGTGAACTATTTTCATCTCCGTCATTCTGCGCCCCGGTCTTCTCGGGTAATTTTGCTGGGAAGAGGTCGCTAGCACGGGGTCGAGAGCGGGAGTTCCGAGAACTTACGCGCCGCGGGCCATTGATAGATACAAACCCGCCATTTCCAGGCTCCTGACCTTCCTCCTGGGCGCCTTTGGGTAGGAAGAGGCCTTCAATGGTGGAATGGATGGCAGGCGCGGGTGAAGTGGGCTGCCTCTCGTCGCTGTCGTCTGCCTGATGTTCGCCAATGTTTTCCGTCTCGTTTTTGGTTCTATGTGACCCCGTAGATTCATCAATATTTTCAGACTCGGCAGATTGATTGTCGTCGGCCTCGGACTGCGCGTCGTTGGGTGACTCTTGTTCTTCGTTGGAAGGGCTACGAAGGGTCGCGCTTTGTTGCGATGGATCAACGCCCTTTTGGCGATTCCTTAGATTCCTAAAGCGCGTCGCTGGCTCGCTGAGCCGGGTGTGTCGAACCTTTCGCGTGTCTCGAGGTTGTTCCGGCGAGGTTGGGAAATCGTAAATGGTGGGTTCATTAACTGTGCGGCGTCTCTTGGGTTCTGCGTTGACATTGTTGAGATAACTCAGAGAGACATCCGTAGACCGAGGTTTGGCTCTCTTGGGCATATTTGCGCGTGGGAAGCGGGAGAAAAACAGGCAAGGGAGGAAGCTTGTGTGGAGTCGGAGTCCCATAACATCATCCCGCATGCGGAGTGCCCCTCCAACTTTCTCTCTTCACCTCCCCCCAACTATCATGGCTAAAAATGGCCCACCTATTCGTGTGCTGTCCACTTTGGACCCCTCTGCACCGCATGTCTTCACTGCCCCGACCAAGAAGATCCACGACTCTCAAGATGTATCGGCCTTCCTCACCTCAAAAGCCTATACTGATATCATGACTTGGCTGTTACAACTTAACCGATCGATGTTCCCGTTGAAATTAGGCGATGGCACATCCCAATCCTGGGCCATCAACAGTGATGCGATTCAATTCTCCGCTCCTATCCGACAATTGCAGCGACTTCTCTTGAGCCTCGAAGATATCATCCAGGAGGTCCCGCCCGATACTGGCCCACGAAGATTTGGAAATATAAGCTTCCGAAGATGGTGCGAGGTGGTGGAGAGCCGCACGCCAGACTTGTTAAAAGAATGCTTACCTGCAGAGCTCTTACAGAAAGTGTCACCAGACGGGCACGGTGTGACCGCAGGAGAAGAATTGAAAGCATACCTCGTGGGCAGCTGGGGCAGCGGACAGCGCCTAGACTACGGTACTGGTCATGAATTGAGCTTCCTCGCTTTCCTGGGTGGATTGTGGAAGTTGAATGCATTCCCCAAGGCCGAGCCTGGCGTGGAAGAACGAGCTATTGTTATCGGGGTCATTCAGCCGTGCGTCCGCGAATGGTTCTACCACATACAACATGCTTCATTGTTTAATAACTTTTGCCTAGATATCTGGACCTGATCAGGAAACTCATTAAAACATACACCCTTGAGCCCGCGGGTTCCCACGGAGTCTGGGGGCTGGATGATCACTCCTTTATCCCTTACATATTTGGGTCTGCCCAGTATTCGCCCGCAATCACCGACTCTGATTTGACACCCGAAGAGGGCTCTCTGCCTGATTCCCCTGATCCAAGCGGAGTCGTCAAGGCAAATATCGTTGAAAAAGAACGAGAAACTAACCTGTACTTCTCTGCAATCGGTTTTATCTACGATGTGAAGAAGGGCCCTTTCTGGGAACACAGTCGCATTCTCTATGATATCTCGGGCATTCAAACTGGCTGGGGCAAGATCAACAAGGTTTGTGTTTCTTGCTGTCCGTGGAAAGCGTTGGCCCTAACACGAAGTCTCTAGGGAATGGTCAAAATGTACAACGCAGAAGTTCTTTCCAAATTCCCAGTGGTTCAGCATTTCCCCTTTGGAAGTCTGTTTAGCTGGGATTACGATCCTAATGCCATCCCTCCTCCTTCCACGGCTCACGCAACATCTGGGCCTCAGGCAAGGCCCGTCGCGCCAGACCTCGGTCAAGCCTCCATTGCCACTCCTCGCCCTACGCCTGGAGCTGGTACCCAGGCTCCCTGGGCCAATTCAGCGGCGGGCACGCGGGCCGTGCCGCCAACAGGTGGAACAGCAGCTCCATGGGCCGCCACAAGAAAGGAAGTTATACCTGGCGGTGCAACAAGAATCCCTTCTGCCATCTCAGACACTTCAAGGGTACCCCCTGGCCCTATGGCGCCGACCAGAGCCCCATGGGCGTCTTCACAGCCTCCACCGTCACAGAGCGGGGATGCCGAAGTGCATACAAAAGCTCCCTGGGCTAAATGATAATCAACGGATATCACGAATAATCACAAGCTTCCATTGCCCCAGTATTTTCACGGCCCCATGTGCTGCTGATTCTCACCCACCACATGTAACCATAAGGAATCTAGATAGGCGAAAATCGGCCCGATGCTCGCTTGAGCGAATCACGGAGACAGTTGAGGGTCCGCTGCCAAGAAGTCGGGCCGGAGTCCACCAAATGCCAAGCCCTCGAATCGATGTTGCCTTGTGAATTATTCTTATATTGTAGCGCACAGATACTGTAATCCTCTCCCCTGTAACCTCCCTGTCAGAATCTCTATATAAGCTGCCACGCTAAACGCCTTGGCATCATGAATTGCCCCTCCCGGACCGACGATACTCTCCTGCATGATGAGTGGAATCAGAACCCGCCGCGTTTCGCTTCTGACTTGACGACCCGCCAAGATCTTATTGGTATTTCCAACGCCCGTGAGAAGAAGGATGATGAAAATGGACTGGCGTTGCTTCAGGGCCTTTCGAATTGGGCTTATGTTCATCCGCTTGAAATATCAGATCCGGGGAAACGTCTCCACGAGGGGCGCGAGGCGTCCACCGGTATGGATGTCATATTCGCCTCATTATGCTTGCATCACTGACTAAATGGATAGGACCCCTCGCTCCCCAAAAGACCAATCTTAGTATTGGTCGCGGAGAACTACATCCAAACAAGACTTCCTCGTCGTATCAAACATTTAAGGACTGGGCGCGGTGGCTGCTCTCAGTCCTGTGTGTCTCTGCCCTGATTTCCTACGACAGCCTAAGCAAGTACTTCATTTCGAAACCACCTCTCGTTCTCGAAGCACCTTTTCCTGTTGAACAGCAAGACCCAGAGCCAGCCAAGCGATCAAGTTGCGCCACAGGTGGTGTTCGCGGAGCTGCGTACGATCTACCGCTGCACGTTGCAGCGCTGTTTATCATCCTAGGGACATCGACTATTGCATGTGCATTTCCAATTCTGGCAACTCGATTTCAGCGACTTCATATCCCAGCTTCGTTTCTCTTTTTTGTTAGTCATTTTGGAACTGGCGTTTTGATCGCCACTGCATTCGTACACCTGCTTCCTACTGCATTCGAATCGTTAAATGACCCATGTCTATCCAGTTTCTGGACAAGTGATTACCCAGCCATGCCTGGTGCTATTGCACTGGCTGGTGTTTTCTTTATCACGGTCATTGAGATGGTATTTAGTCCAGCTCAGAGTATTTGTCGTGGGGGCAATCACGGCTCGCCGCAGAATTCATCCTCGCCCTGTTCCGACAGAGATGTTCCAGCGAAACTCGATGATCCTACCTCGGTCGAGCCTAGAGCGCAGAGCTCGCACTCTGCTACACTAGATTGCCGCCCCCATGTACGTGATATGGGTCCTCTGGTTGGAAGATCTTCAAGCATAAGCCGGGCTATCAATCGCATGGGCGATGAAAGTGGAGAAATCGTCAGAGTCTCATCTGCGCCTGAGGTTCAAACCCATCACGAGAAAGAAAATGGAGCAATTCAGCCGGATGTAGAGCGAGATGAAGATCGTCATGTTCTTACTCCGGAGCAGAAACAGAAGAAAGAGACGATGCAGGTTTATCTTCTTGAAATGGGCATTCTGTTTCACAGTGTCTTCATTGGCATGTCGCTCAGTGTGTCAATTGGGAATGAGTTTGTGATTCTTTTGATCGCCATCGTATTCCATCGTGAGTTGTTCATACTCCTACCTCTTTGTGAATGAACTAAACAATCTGCAGAAACTTTCGAAGGCCTAGCATTAGGATCCCGAATTGCCTCCCTTCCCTGGTCTGAAAAGCAACTTCAGCCCTGGTTTATGTCACTTGCATATGGTTGCACGTATGTCTCTTGTATACACATGTGGTCATCCAGAAATCAAAGAACTGACACACATATAGAACGCCAATTGGACAAGCAATTGGTCTTGCAACCCACAGACTGTACAGTCCGGACTCTGAAATCGGTTTGCTCGTTGTTGGCATTATGAATGCCATTTCCGCTGGACTTTTGATCTTTGCCTCGCTCGTGGAGCTAATGTCCGAAGACTTTCTCAGTGACGAGAGTTGGCGCATCCTTCGTGGAAGGAGACGTGTTTATGCCTGTCTTTTGGTCTTCTTGGGTGCTTTCTGCATGTCTATTGTCGGTGCCTGGGCCTAAGTCATGTTGGGCGTGACTGGTTTGTCATCTCTAATGACTTGCTGCAAGCTAAACGGTCCGTTTTACGCGTGGCTGACCCTAGGTAGTCTTTCAGTTTGCGCTCCATATATACTCAATATAGAGAGTGGTTTTGAGGTGTATATTAGTAAGAATTACAAAAGGTAGAGGAGTACTTACAAGATTTTACGGTCGGTTTCTAGAAAATTCTTCATAATCGATATAGCACACGCTGAGAGTTATAACAACTTCCATTGCCATTTACGGTTTTTAGAAAACCTACGGACACTCTCAAAGGATGTGCTTTTATCTCTTAATAAATGACAAGAAGAGGAATTCGATTGTTCTAATTGGTCATCGCTTTCATGGTCTCATTCTAGCAACTTTGGGTACGGTGATGTATATATCTTCAAAACAGTCAAAAGTTTTGACAAACTTCTATAACAAGAATGATACACTTATCTCTCCTCAAAAGTACTCAAAGTAACACTCGATGCTCTCCCCACAATCACTTACATCCACAGGAAGCACCCAACGTCTCACCATCCTTAATACACCCACAGGTATTTGACCCAGGAACAAGCATCCCATGACATCCAAGGAGACAACAACGATAATATCCATCCTGGCACCTAGGGCAATCCTTAAAAGTGTCACATTTAGTCACAGCCGTGGGCCCGGGATTTGCAGTAGTGGTTGTTGTTGTTGATCGGGCCCAAGGCAGAAGGTTCTTAAACCTTTTGCCTATGCCGCCGTGAAGTCACAGCTACCATTGCTTGACTTCAGAATGGGATTAAACTCCATCAGCTTGGATACTGTCACATCGAAGCGTTCAACGAACTCGCTGCAGGTCTCTGGGTCTTCGGGTACGTTTCTCGTTGTGTGATTGCAACCGGTCACAATATCGACCGGTGCATCTGTCGTCGAGGTTGGAGACTCCGTTGTAGTTTCTGAGGGGACCTCGGTGGTTGTAAAAGCCTCTGTGGTGGCGGGCAGTGTTTCGGTGGTAGGAAAAGGTGTCTGTGTAGATGATGAGGCAGGGCTTGCTGTAGAGGGAGGCTCTGTAGTCGCGGGCTCAACTGTGCTGATGATTGGATCACCATTCTCATCTGCCTGGGGCAAATCTGTGGGATCGGGGGACACCGGGACATATGTATACCCAGGGTATGAGTAAATAGAGATTCCTCCGCAACGATCGTTCAAAGCAACTTCAGTCATCGCAGCCAGACACTTATCAGACCGGTGAATATACCTCTCTAGCTATATTGATCCAGCGGCTGTACAGGTTTTGATGTCTAGAAGCCATTGAGAGCAAAGTATTTCAGTTGATTGAGCTCGATGCGCGTAGTCAATATCCAGCATTGAATATATGACTCGTCGGCTAGCGACCTATGACCGCAAAATTAGTACACCACTCAGAATGGACGGAAAAAACAGTCACATACATTGCATATGTCCTCGATGAAGAAGTATACTCTTCCAATCATGCGGTCTATAATATAATCTCTGAAACATTCGTCCTTGTCATTCGCCATCTTCCATGGGATCCTACCCGTTCTCATCGCGATGTAGATTATGGCGGCAGCCCAGATGTCCACAGCTTTGGGATCAAATTCGCTGCCGAGATAACGTTCCGGTGGAATGTAAGGGTTTGGGCAACAATCCTTCTTCGGCAAGGTCGTTTTTTCCTTACCAAGGTGGAAACATTCAACGGTTCCAAGGTTAGAAATCTTGAGACATCCACTGGAGCTGAGAAGAATGTTCTCTGGCTTCAAGTCACAATGAGCAACGCCCATTTTATGAATATAATGGATACCGTGCATGAGCTGTTTAAAAAAACAGTTGGCCTCGGTCTGTGCAAGTTGACGCGATGCGATGATTAATGAATATAGATCGCCACCAGAGCAGCGTTCGAAAGACTCGCAAAGATTGCCGTTGCTGAGTTCATGTAGGTCGAAGGTTCGAACAATATTTTGGTGATCCAAAGACGACGATAGATCAAATGCAGCGATGATACGCTTTCGGTGAGCTTTGTCGATCGGATTTGATCCAGAGGAACAGTCCTTGATTGCGTAAAGCTTATGGATGCCTGAGCTCACTTCTTGGTCCTTTTGTGATGAACATATAGCAATAGAGGAGCTGTGATCAACAACATCTTCTATCTCTTTATCCTTTTCAGATATCTTCTTGTTCTCCCCAGCTGTGATATTGACGGTCTGGCTCACCATTCCTTCCTCCCACTCCATTGTCACTGTTGGTTTCACGCAGGAACTTTTTACTTTAGTTTTAAAGGATTTCCAGCTAGCAGATGGATCGTTTCCAAAACGCCGGTCTTCCGACAATGGTGGTCTGAGGTAGTGGGAATGTTCCCCATTCTCGATTCTGAGTCTTTGGCATTCAGAGCAGGCTTTTCTTCTCATTGGAAAACGACGTATATGTCCAGTTGCTACCACTTTCTCTTCGGGTTGGACGGGAACTTGGGTTATCAGAGAGCGGTTTGTTCCATTATATTGAGGATCGTGGGGGGTTTCGCATCGTCTTTCGGAGGTGAAGGGGAGGAATTTGAATGTTTGCTGTAAGAGACCTTGGACCCAAAGAGACATCTTGCGTCGTAGAGCAACCAACTAGGATTCCGTTCGAAAGATACAGGGCGTGAGAAAGGCACACACAAATTGAGTACTTGTATTCCGCTCAGTTTACGGGTTAACTGAGAGACTCATACATACGTAGTCTATGTCTCACATGAGCCAAACAGTTTAAGACAGGACATGTCAGCAAGCCCTAAAATAACTTGGCACTTCTTCCTATGCGCAGGGAACGTGCTTGGCAACTACATGTAGGGTAATCCATGATTCATCATTTGACTCTCTGTTCATAGGTAGAGGAGTGAAAGGGTGGGTATCCCGTAACCAAACCTTCTGTTCCCGCACATAAATGTGCATATCGTGTTTAACCACCCAAGAAATTGACCAAAGCTAAGGTAGTGGCGGTTATCAATTTCTTTTACCAACATAATTATGGCAGATGGATTTCACATCCCGCAAAAGTAGGAGGTCTACATCATGTTGAGTAAAAAGCGCTTCACTCCGCTTCATCCGCCTAGATGCCAAGAGTTTGGCGCCAAGGATTTCCAACCCTTTCCTGCAGCGGAGTTTCGCCACTCCCGCCCCATAGTAGGCCTGAGAGCGCAATTTTTTAAGCCGTACAAGAGGGAGGTCTGCCTATACTTAACTGTATACTGTATGGCCTTGGAATGTTTCCAGACAATAAACTTGATCAACTCTCTCGACAAAGAGAAAGATTCTTGAAGAATTGCCTCGACATAATGGGCCTTCGACAAATTGGCCCGGGACGCGGCTTTCCATGGCCGAACTAACGCTAATTCTTTAGCGCATTGTGTTAAACTTCCTTGCCACCATAGGGCTCGCCTAGAAGTGACAGTGTAAAGTAATTGGTTGGTACAGACCTTGAAGGATGGCAATAATCAGGAAAGGGAAGGCATCGACGTTGGAATGGCAGTGACTGGGTCTACGGCAGCATTCAATTGCAACTAAACCGACGATTCTCTCTTGGCAGCGCATATACACGGTCTTCCTCAATCCCCACATATGCAACACTGGCCCAAGCAGTTTGCTATCTTCGCCAAAATCTCGTAACGCCCTGTTCGGCAAGACTTGGCCAGACTTGGCAAGAATCGGTAAGACCTTGGCCACGGACTTTTACGGACCACTTCGGTTCGAGTTTGATTTATAAAGCTACCTTGGATCCCCTGAATTTTCAACTTTCTGAGCTGTGAAACTATCCGTGATAATGGGTGAAAAAGTTACCTCTGGCGCTTCCGGGCCTGAAGTTAATGAATTGCTCTCTAAGCCAGCCCATTCACTTCCTTATGACCTCGTCGTAGAGGAACTAGGCAGCAAAATCGATGAAGGTCTCAGCAACGATGAAGCAGCACGTCGCTTGCAGCAATATGGCCCCAACAAGTTGGAAGATGGCGAGGGTATTTCGATACTCAAAATTCTCGTTGCACAGGTCGCCAATGCAATGATGCTAGTTAAGCCTACCATCTCCTTTTAGCTGCAGAAGAACACACGGATCTGATCTTATTCTTTGACATAGGTCCTCATCCTGGCAATGGCCGTCAGTTTCGGCATTCAGTCATGGATTGAGGGCGGATTTATCTGCGCCGTGATCGTTCTCAATATTGTCGTTGGTTTCTTCCAGGAATATGCTGCGGAGAAAACCATGGAGTCGCTTCATTCCTTGAGTTCCCCCACCGGTGTCGTGAGCCGAAATGGTCAAACTTTTTCGGTGCCTTCTATGGATATTGTCCCTGGTGACATGGTGGAGCTGAAGACTGGAGATACCGTTCCTGCAGACCTGAGGTGAGCATTTTTCGTCACTTGGCATTCATTGGCCACTTCCATACCCCAATACTAACCATTTACAGACTGGTTGAAGCAGTAAACTTTGAAACGGACGAAGCCCTTCTCACCGGTGAATCCCTACCAGTCCAAAAGGAGGTTGACTCTATCTTCAAAGAAGATACTGGCCCTGGAGATCGCCTAAACATTGCCTACAGCTCAAGCACGGTCACTCGTGGCCGCGCTCGCGGAGTCGTCATCAGGACCGGCATGGGAACGGAAATCGGCTCAATTGCTGCCGCTCTCCGTGAAAGTGATTCAAAACGTCGCAAGGTCAAACGTGGCCCAGATGGCGAGACCAAGAAGCGCTGGTATCTACAAGCTTGGACCCTCACCGGCACCGATGCTGTTGGAAGATTCCTAGGCGTGAATGTCGGGACCTCTTTGCAGCGCAAGCTCTCTAAGCTAGCTATCATTCTCTTCGGTGTTGCGGTCCTTTTTGCTGTCGTCGTGATGAGTGCCAACCTTTGGAGCTCACAGAGCGAAGTCATCCTTTATGCTGTTGGAACTGGACTCAGTATGATTCCCGCCTGTCTGGTTGTCGTCTTGACAATTACCATGGCTGTTGGAAGCAAGCGTATGGTCGAGAGACATGTTATTGTTCGCAAGCTCGATTCCCTCGAGGCTCTTGGCTCTGTGACCAACATTTGCTCCGACAAAACTGGCACTTTGACGCAGGGAAAGATGGTTGTACGCAAGTCGTGGATCCCTGCTCTCGGAACCTACTCTGTTGGATCGTCCAACGAGCCATTCAATCCGACATTAGGTGATGTGACCTTTAGCTCAGCGGCTCCCGAAAGTTATGACGCTGAAAAGGATGGATGTCCTTATGATTGCCAGGAGCTCCTGTGTCCTGAGCTCGAAGATTTCCTTAATGTCGCTTCGATGGCGAACTTGGCACACGTTTATCTGTCCGAAGAAAACGAATGGCATGCCCGCGGCGAGCCCACCGAGATTGCAATTGAGGTCTTTGCTTCTCGCTTTGACTGGAACCGTGATCGCTGGACTAAGGGCTCCAAGCCTACTTGGCACCAGAAAGCCGAGTTTCCGTTTGATTCCACCGTCAAGAAGATGTCTGTCCTTTATAGCACTCTCGCAAATGGCGAAGAGAAAACCATGGTTTTCAGTAAAGGAGCAGTTGAACGTATCTTGGACGCTTCTACCACCATCGTTTGGGAGAAGGGCTTCGCTCCGGTTGCTTTGACGGATGATCATCGTCAGACTATTCTTCGCAACATGGATGAACTAGCTAGCCTGGGTCTCCGTGTTCTTGCCCTTGCTCAGAGACCATTCGATCCAGCCACTCGAGTCTTGGAAGACATGGACTACGAACGTGACGAAGTGGAGAAGAACCTGCAGTTCCTGGGCTTAGTAGGAATCTATGACCCGCCTCGGCCTGAAACTGCTGGTGCTGTTGCTGCCTGCTATCGCGCTGGTATATCGGTACACATGGTAACCGGAGACCACCCGGCAACAGCCAAGGCCATCGCCCAGCTGGTTGGTATCATTCCAGCCAACTTGAACGAAGTGTCTGCCGAAGTCGAGAAAGCCATGGTTATCACTGCAAGCGAATTTGATAAAATGACTGATGAAGAGGTCGATGCATTGCCTATCTTACCTCGGGTCATCGCGCGCTGTGCTCCCCAGACCAAGGTCCGTATGATTGACGCACTTCATAGACGAGGTGCCTCGGTTGCCATGACCGGCGATGGAGTGAACGATTCTCCTTCTCTGAAACACTCCGACGTTGGCATCGCTATGGGAAAAGCAGGCTCGGATGTGGCTAAGGATGTCTCTGATATCATCCTCACGGATGATAATTTCGCTTCCATCTTGAACGCTGTCGAAGAAGGTCGACGAATCTTTGATAACATTCAAAAGTTTGTACTTCACTTGTTGTCGGAGAACATTGCTCAGGCTTGTACCCTTCTGATCGGACTTGCCTTCAAAGATTTGGATGGTCAATCAGTCTTCCCGTTGTCACCAGTTGAAATTATCTGGGTGATCATGATCACTTCCGGTATGCCTGACATGGGACTTGGTATGGAAGTTGCTGCTCCTGATATCATGGATCGGCCGCCTCACTCGGTAAGATCTTAAGGAACTCTTATATTAGAACGTTGAATGCTAACCACTGAGTAGAAGCAAGGTATCTTCACATGGGAGGTCGTGATCGATATTCTCGCATATGGCTTGTGGACCTCGGCTCTGTGTCTTTCGTCCTTCTCCTTGGTGATGTGGGGATTCGGAGACGGCAACCTAGGACGCGGTTGCAATCGCGAGTATTCCAAAGAGTGTGAGCTGGTTTTTAAGGCACGCGCAACCACTTTTGTCTGCTTGACATGGTTTGCCCTGTTTTTGGCCTGGGAAATGGTGAATATGCGCCGGTCTTTCTTCCGCATGCAGCCCAAATCGAAGAAGTATTTCACACAGTGGGCGCATGATGTCTGGCGCAATCAGTTCCTCTTCTGGTCTATTCTCGCTGGCTTTATTACTGTGGTTCCTATCCTTTACATTCCCGTTATCAACGACGTGGTATTCAAGCACACGGGAATCACTTGGGAATGGGCTATCGTTGTTGTTGAGACGCTCCTGTTTTTCCTCGGCGTCGAAACCTGGAAATGGGGAAAGCGCGTCTTTTTCCGTCGCATGGGTCGGCAGCAGCAGAGAGACGCCTTACAGCAACAGGCTGGCTCGCAAGCCTGACATGCAAAGATATCACGAGTGCAACTTTTGTGTCCAAGGGGATGCATTCGTGGGTGGAGGAAAATGGCGGCGGCCAAATTGTCACAGGCTCGTTCTGGATTTCCCAGGACGAGACT